TTAAATAGATGCCAATCAAAATTATGCAAATATGTGTTTCATTGACAGTGCAATGACACATACCATTTTGAAACACAAAAAATATTTTTCATATTTGAAAAAGGGAAAGAATGAATGTCAATACAATAAGTGACAGTGTAAAATTAATTGAAGGCTCTTGAGAAGCCCTTATATTTCTCCCGCGGGGAAGAAAATTGTGATACAGTATGCACTGTTGGCCACTAATGCTCGAAGAAATCTACTGAGCTTTCATGACATTCGGAAAAATGGTTATCACATTGAAACTATGAGTGATACCGATGGTGAATTTTTATTGATCACCAATATCATTGATAAAAAGAAATGCATCATTGAGAGATTGTCTTCACTCTCTACTGACTTATATTATGCCAGATTAGGTGTTGTAGAAACACACCTCATGGTAGATCAAAAGACTACCGATTTTCAAATATGCCATAATCGCCTTGGGCATCCTGACAGTATAATGATGAGGCGAATAATTGAGAATTCGCATGGCCATTCATTAAAAGGTCAAAAAGTGTTAAACTCAAAGGAGTTAACCTGTGTTACTTGCACTCAGGGAAAATTGATAACCAGGCCATCGCCAACTAAAGTATGTATTGAATCACCTACATTTTTTAAAAGAATGCACGGGGATATATGTGGAGCAATAGACCCACCGTGTGGGCCATTTAAATATATTATGGTGCTTATTGATGCAGCTACCAGATGGTCACATGTTTGTTTACTATCTATTCGCAATATTTGCGAGATTGCTTGCCCAAATTATTAAATTACGGGCACAATTTCCCGATAATCCAATTAAGACTATACGCCTGAATAATGTTGGTGAATATACATTGAATGAATTTGATGATTATTACATGTCGATTAGAATTAATGTAGAGCACCCAGTTGCTTATGTTCATACACAAAATGTTTTGGCAGAATCACTTATTAAAATATTGCAATTGATTTATAGAGCATTACTGATGAGGTCTATGTTGCCTGTTTTAGCTTGGGGCATGCAATCTTACATGCAGGAACACTTATAAGAATGAGACCGACAAGCTATCATAGTTATTCCCATATGCAATTAGTATTCGGTCACGAACCAAATATATCTCATCTAAGTATTTTTGGGTGTGTTGTTTTTGTTCCTATTCGACCCCCCAAACGTACAAAAATGGGTCCTCTACGTAGATTGGGCATTTATGTCAAATATGAATCACCGTCAATTATAAAATATCTTGAACCTATGACGGGTGATTTATTCACTGCAAGATTTGCATATTGTTATTTTGATGAATCATATTTTCCGACATTATGGAGAGACAAAAATGAACCGAAAAGGGATATTAATTGGAAAATCCCATTGAATTTTTGTGATCCTCACACAAAGCAGTGTGAATTAGAAGTTCAATGCATTATACATTTGCAAAATATTGCAAATCAATTACCGGATGCATTTAATGACTCGAGTAAAGTTACTCGATCATATATTCAAGCTGCTAATACTTCGGCTAAAATAATTGTCCCTGATGGACAAATTGGAAGTTCTAATGAATCAACGACACGCTTGAAGCGTGGTAGACTACTTGGTTCCAAAGACAAATATCCTCGAAAGAAAAGAGGAATTAATGATGATAATCATGAAAATATAAGGAATGACATTGATAAACTTCAATCTAATTAGGAAGTCAATCCTGAAATAATTGCTCAAGAAGAGCACGATCTTAAAAAACATGATGAGATTATTGAAAACTCAATTAACTATGTTACTTCAATAAAATATTGGAACCGTAAAGAGGCAATTATTGTTAATGCCTTCGCATACAGTTTAGCACTTGATATAATAGAAGAAAATGAGGATTTAGAGCCAAAATCGGTTCATGAATGTTGGCAAAGAAATGACTGACAAAAATGGGAGAATGCGATCCAATCAAAGCTTGACTCATTAAACAAAAGAGAAGTCTTCGGACCAATTGTTCAAACACCAGATGGTATAAAACTAGTTGGATACAAATGGGTGTTTGTACGAAAAAGAAATGAGCATAATGAAATTGTGAGATGTAAAGCCTGTCTTGTAGCTCAAGGATTCTCACAAAGACCTGGAGTAGATTTTGATAAAACATACTCTCATATTGATCGAATAACATTTAGATATCTTGTGAGCCTAGCAGTGCGAGAAAAGCTCGATATGCGTCTTTTAGACATAGTTACTGCATATCTTTATAACTCCTAGGATACTGATATTTATATGAAAGTTCCTGAGGGATTCAATATGCCTGAAGCATACAAATTAAACCCAAAAGAATCATATTCTATCCAATTGAAAAAGTCATTGTATGGATTTAAACAATCAGGGCGAATGTGGTATAACCGTCTCAATGAATGTTCATTAAAAGAAGGTTATACTAATGATCCAATATGCTAATGCGTCTTTATAAAGAAAAATGAATCAAAATTTGTCATTATTGCAATATATGTTTACGATCTCAATTTAATTAGAACTCCTAAAGAGAACCAAATTACAGTTGAATATCTAAAGAAAGAATTTGAGATCAAAGATTTTGGAAAGACAAGTGGATCATATGAATAACAGAATATTTATCCATCAATCCACATATACTCAAAATGTATTAAAGCAATTCTATATGGATAAATCTCACTCTCTGAGTACACCAATGGTAGTCAGATCCCTTGATCCCAGTAAAGATCCATTTAGGCCAAGAGAAGAAAATGAAGAAATACTTTGCCCCGAGGTACCATATCTCAGTGCTATTGGCACATTAATGTACCTTGTAAATTGTACCAGGGCAAATATATCTTATTCAGTAAATTTACTGGTCAAGTTTAGCGCATCCCTCAGTAAGCGCCATTGAAATGGTATCAAGCACATTTTTCGTTACCTTCAGGGGACTTATGACCTCGGTTTATTTTATTTGAGTGAATCTCAAAATGAATTAATTGGTTATGCTGATGCTGATTATCAGTCTGATCCACACAAAGCAAAATCTCAAACTGGCTATTTATTTACTTGTGGAGGAACCACAATCTCTTGGGGATCTGCTAAACAGACGATAACAACTACTTCTTCAAACCATACTGAGGTTTTAGCAATTCACGAAGCCAGTCATGAATGTGTTTGGTTGAGGTTTATAACTCATCATATTCAGAAAAATTGTGGCTTGATCACTGATAATATATTACCTCCTACAATATTATTAGAGGATAATGCAGCTTGTATAACTCAGTTAAAAGAAGGATATATTAAAGGCGATCGGACAAAGCACATATCTCCGAAGTTCTTTTTCACTCACGATCTTCAGAAAAGTGGTGAAATTAATATGCAACAAATTCGTTCGTCTGAAAATTTTGCAGATTTTTTTATGAAGGCGCTACCGACTGCAACATTCAACAAACTGGTGCAAAGAATTGGAATGCGTCGGATGAAAGACATCAAATAAAGTCCAAAACAGGGGGAGCGTATTAATACAAGAATGTTGTACTATTTTTCCTTCACTACGATTTTTTCCCACTGGATTTTTCATATTAAGGCTTTATCGAGGCACATTCTTTGTTTAAAATATCCAAATTAGAGTGTTATACACATAATAAACAACAAAATCATACAAAATGAACAACAAATATATACGTAGATGATTTTAGACCTAATGTACAATCTCATTTTGCATATAAACAAATTGCCTTCAATTCAATAAAAAGACAAAGCACATTTATTACACTACACTTTATCTCTCTCTCCCCCACTCTTTAAAATTACACGCATATATACATATGTTTATTAATATAATCATTGCATTTATATATATTATCTTATATATCATCCACGCACCCATACATATATATATATGATAACTTTCATTAAATTTTCTAATTCTAAGTTTAATTTTCTATTTACTTTCTATGCATTACATTCTTGTTATTTATTTTCTATTCTTTTTAATTATTCATCTTTATTTTCTATTCATTTAAAATTCCTATAATACTTTTATTTATTTATTTTTATTAACTTCAATTTTTTTTTATCTTCATATATAACTCTTAATTTCTATCATATAATTTTAATTTTTTATTATTAAAAAAAAAGTAGATAGACAATAATATGAAAAATAAATAGTTTAAAAATATATATATTAGCAACCATTAAATAATAATACAAAATATTTATAAAAAATATCAATGTATATATACTCAATTTGCAAATACTGTTAAATAATAAGTAGATTTATTTTATATATAAATACTTACAAATAAATTATATGTATATATATATATATTTAAATATCCATAACTATTAAATTTTAATATAAAATATTTATAAAAAATATTAATTTTGATTAAATAAAGTATTAATAAGTTAATGAACATGTACTTCGAATATTCTGTATATTTGTCATTATTTTGTGAAAAAATATAATAATAAAATTTATAATTGTTCACATAAATTAAGGATTCTGAATTATATTAGGTATATAGAATTATAAATAAAATATTATTTTGAGGACAAAATTAAAAGTTTATTGGTAAAAATTTATAAAATTATAAATAGAGAATTGTGAAAATAAATAGAAAGATACGAAGAACAAATATATAAATAGGATCGACGTGAAATCAATTTGCGAAATAGAGAAAGAAGTAAGTACTAAATATTTATTTTTGTTTAAATTAAATATATATTAATTCAATTTTATTTTATTTTAAAATTTTTTTACCAGCGAACACGTCCCCACCTTTAAATTATTTATGCCGAGCTGCCACGTGTTCTGATGCCTCGTTTCTCGACGTGTCTAACATGGACCCCACACGAATGAGTAGTTTCTGAAAGCTCCCACGACAGATCTGGACCGTCGGGATCCGTATCCAACACTATGAACGACGTAGATCGACCGGCGTCGAAGTCCCGGATCTCTCAGAAATACTACTGCATTAAAAGTCAAACCAAGGCAGAGGCAGAGCGTTTCTAGTATTGAATTTGATCCTATACATCTTCCCCAACCCTAATTATTATCTTCCCTCATTTCCGTATCGGCCAAAACGATGTCGTTTCTACACGATATACCTCACTCTCCGGCGACTGCGAAGCCACCGGGAACCGCCTCGCCGTCGTATGTCGCCACCGCACCCTTGGCAAACCTCTCCGTACTCCAATCTCGAATGGATTCCCTCCGGAGGTTCCTCTCCGATTCGGTCAACACCAATACCTTACTCGCTCAACCCCAAATCGACACGGTTTCTTCCGAAATCGCATCCGCAATCCACCAGATCGTCCTCAACGGCGCCGCGCTGCTGTCGTGCTCGCCGTCCGTTTCCGCGACGGACAAAAAATTGGGGAAATCAACGGATTGCTCGGCCGACTTCGACGCCGAATCGGCGGAGGATTACGAGATAATCGAGATGGACGCGGTGGAGCTGCTGGCGGAGCACGTCCATTTCTGCGAGATCTGCGGGAAAGGATTCAAGCGCGACGCCAATTTGCGGATGCACATGCGAGCTCACGGAAACCAATTCAAAACTCCCGAGGCATTAGCGAAGCCGGCTGAGAGATCCGGCGATTCAATTGGACGGCGGCGGAGGTTTTCGTGCCCCTACGTCGGTTGCAACAGGAACAAGCTCCACGAAAAATTCCGGCCGCTGAAGAGCGGCGTGTGCGTGAAGAATCACTTCAAGCGTAGCCATTGCCCAAAGATGTATTGGTGCAATCGGTGCCATAAGAAGAGCTTCTCCGTGGTGGCTGATTTGAAGAGCCATTTGAAGCAGTGCGGAGAGAGCAAGTGGAGGTGTTCCTGTGGGTGCCATTTTTGGCGCAAGGATAAGCTGTTTGGGCACGTGGCATTGTTCGACGGAGGGCACGTGCCGGTGCCGGTGCCGGCGGAGGAGGAGAAGAATACCGTTGGTGGTGGGGAATTGGAGGAGAGTGGCGATCCTACTACTACTACTACTAATAATAATAATAGCTTTTTTGAAGGATTGGATGATTGGTTTGAAGAGAGGTCGACTGGTCCGGCAATGGAGCAATTCTTCATCAGGTTTTGAATTTGATCCACCTATCTGTTTCTATTCATTTTCGTTTTTTTGCAGCAGCTGTGTTGTGTTGTGTTTATTCATGTGTTCTTGCGTTGGGCGATTTCGATGTATATAATTTGATTTGATAGGATGAATTTTTATTGCTCTGTTTATATTTAATATTAAAAATATTGCTATTTTCGTCTTATTCTAAAGTTTTATTTACTTTTTGTGTGTTGATTTTTAAATATTAATTAATATATCACAATATAATACAAATTAAGCAAAAAATATAAAAATATTTTCATTGGTGTCTTATAATACTAACAGAAGATATTTTTATAAAAAAAAATTATACAAATATAAAAATATTTTTAATATTAATACAATAATGTAAATGTGACCTTTAGAGGCGGAAAGTAAAAGTATTATATTTGTATAATTTTTTATACAAATTTTTTTATATTAACATTAATGAAAATATTTTTGTAATTTTTTTTAATTTGATGTTTTAATATAATATTAATATTAAAAATAAAAATGAAAAAGTAAATAAGATCTTAATATAATATTAATATTAAAAATCAATATGTAAAAAAATAACTCACGTATATTATTTATGGTATTTATCATAACTTACGTATATTTACAGTGCTTAATAAATTTATTTACAGTTAATAGATGAGAAGTATATAAATAGATAATACAAAATATATATTAATATAATGCAAATAATTAAACATTTCATATAAATAGATGGCACCGGCAGTACATAATAATACCATATACATCCCATACTCCCGATTGAGTTCACCATACGGTGTATATTCATGTTGGATAATCGGTTATTTTACAATCGATTATTTTGTGAGTGAAAATGCAATGGGTCGGTGTATCAAATTAATATAATTAATTTAGAAGAAATAAATAAGTATTTGTTTATTTGTGTATGGGGTTTCATTAATATTTTTGTTATTTTGCATGTCTTAAGACAAACTAAATTGTGCAACCCCAAATTAAACCCGTGTATATGGCCTAAGTCGCAATATTATTTGGATAAAATATTATCTGTTGGATAGATTTATTATAATCTCAAACGGAAGGTTTGAAATTAGAATAAATTACAATCGTTTCAAACGGAAGGTTTGAAATTAGAATAAATTACGATAGTCACAAACGGAAGGTTTGTAATTAGAATAAATTACGACTGCTTCAAACGGAAAATTTGAATTTATAATTAATTACATCAATAATTAAGGTCGTAATTATGATCATAATTGATCCCTGCCATTTTGGCCGAGTGGAGGCGCCTATATAAATGGTCTCCCCCTCCATTCTAATATCCAACATAAATAATCCTTTCGTCCCTCTCTCCTCTCTTCTAGCTTTCCGGCCGCCTCCCCAGCTCAGTTCCTCTCTCATTTTGTTCGCCGGAGGTCTAACGATTAGAGGTGCCACTCTCATTGGAGACGGAAACCGTTTTATCTTTGGATTAGAACGCCACCCACCGGAGGCACTACCGGGGCGTATCTAATTTTCGAAAATAGGATCTATCCTCGACTCGGTTTCACATTCATTCTCGCAATACCCATATAATCCAACAATCGAAAATTAGATAATCAATCCCTGCCGAAGTCGCCGCCGGAACCTCCGCCGGAGCCTCCACTGGAAAAGTCTCCGGAATCTCCGTCGGAGCCTCCGCCGGAAAATTCGCCGGAGCCGCCGCCGGAGGAATCGCCGGAGGAGTCGCTGGAATCGCAGATAAGGTAGTCGCTCCTCCACTTGGGCCACTTCCCTTTATGGGCAGCCTTTTATTTTTTAGATTTGCCCCTGGGGGATACGGGGGATTTCCTGGGTCTGTGGTTGCACCTTCTGCTTCATTCGCAACCCAAACTGTTGGTCCTGGGCTTGGCCCACGGATGATGTCCCATGTACAAGTTCCACAACCATTCACGGGAGTGGACTTTAGGAAGTGGCAGAATAAGATGCTCTTCTACCTGACTGCGATTGGGTTTGCTATGTTTGTGTTGCACGATGGCCCAATCACTCCAGAGCCCGGTGCGGATCAGCAGACGCATGTGAATTATGCATCGTGGGCACACAGAGACTACATGACAAGAAATACTATATTAGGTAGTCTCTCTAACTCTCTTTATAATGTATATTGCAAAATAAAGAGTGCAAAAGGGTTGTGGGATGCCCTTGAGAAAAAATATAAGTCCGAGAATGTCGGGTCTAAAATATTTGTTGTGGCGCGGTTTATGGACTATAAGATGGTAGATGACAAGTCTGTTGTCAAACAAGTGGAAGAATTTCAAAATATTGTTCACTCTATTATCGACGAGGAGATGCCATTGCCAGAAAAGTTCATCACGAGTGTGATGATCGAGAAATTGCCCCCGAGTTGGAGCAACTTCAAGCACGGGCTAAAGTATGAACTAAAGCAAGTGGGGCTTGAAGATTTGATTGTCCGACTCCGGATAGAGGAAGACAGCAAAAAGCAGCACAAGGCTAAAAGTGAAGATATTGCTAAAGCCAACTTGGTCAGAGATCCCGCCAAAAAACGTGCACGCCCAACTCAAACGGACAAGGGCAAAGCCAAACAGTCCAAGTTTACAAGTAACTGTTTTAACTGTGGTAAAACAGGACACCAGGTTAAGGATTGCAAGGCACCGAAAAAAAAGAAGCCGAGTTCCCAACTGGTCGAGACGAGCCACAGGACTGATCGTGATCTCAATAGTGACGACCTTGTCGCTGTTCTGTACGAAACAAATAATATGGAAAGTCTAAAAGCTTGGTATATTGACACCGGAGCAACCTACCATGTTTGCTCTGACAAAACAAACTTCTCGACCTACAAGGAGACCGAAGGAAGGAAGCTGCACATGGGAAATCATGCAACTTCTGAGGTCCAAGACGTAGGGAACGTGGTGCTGAAGATGACCTTTGGCAAAGAACTAACCCTGAAAAATGTCTTGCATGTGCCAGACATTCGAAAAAATCTCGTCTCAGGATCGCTACTAGTTAGGCATGGTTTTAAACTTGTCTTTGTAGCAGATAAATTTATATTATCAAAAAACGAGATGTTCCTAGCTAGGGGTTATCTTACAAATAGATTGTTCAAATTGAATGTAATGGTCGTGCTCCGAGCACCATCTACTGATAATGAAAATATGCTTCTTCTTCGTACTTGATTGAGTGTTCTGATTTATGGCATTGTAGACTAGGTCATGTAAATATAAATGCTATAAAAAGATTAGTAAATATGAATTTACTAAATATAAAATAGGTGAACACTCAAAACAAATGTGAAGTTTGTGTGGAGGCCAAAATGGCAAAATTACCTTCCCGTCTGTCGAAAGGAAGACTAAGCCATTAGAGTTAATTCACACTGATGTATGTGATTTAAAATTTGTGCAAACTAGAGGTGAAAAGAAATATTCCATCACCTTTATCGATGACTGCACAAAGTATTGCTATCTTTACCTATTAAGGGAAAAGAGCGAAATAATCGAAGCCTTCAAGAACTTCAAAACCGAGGCAAAAAATCAACTTGACTGTAAAATCAAGACAGTTCGAAGTGATAGAGGTGGCGAATATGTGGGCCCGTTTGAAGAATTATGTAACGAAAGTGGTATAATTCATCAGACAACGGCTCCATATTCACCTCAATCGAACGGCGTTGTAGAATGCAAAAATCGAACACTTAAGGAAATGATGAATGTCTTGTTGATAAGTTCAGGACTTCCCCAAAACTTGTGGGGGGAGGCGGTACTGACTGCAAATTATATCTTGAACAAGATTCCAGTTAAGGGTAAGAATGCCACCCCTTATGAACCATGGAAAGGCAAGAAACCTACATACAAATACTTCAAAGTGTGGGGGTTCCTAGCAAAAATGGAAGTTCCGCTTCCAAAGCAAGTCGCTATCGACCAAAAAATGGTAGATTGCATATTCATTGGATACGCACTAAACATTAGTGCGTATCGTTTCATAGTTCACAAATCGGAAATTCCTGGGATGACCGAGGGAACTATGATAGAATCAAGGAATGCTACATACTTTGAAAATATCTACCTTTGTAAGGAAAGAATGCAGTCAAACCCAAAATCCGTAGATGAAGAACTACGGGGCGTAAAAAGACAAATGACCAATAGCCCTAATCAAGAGGCTTCAGAGCCTAGTCGTAGCAAAAGGACAAGGGTCGAGAAAATCTTTGGTCCGGATTTTGTTACGTATATGTTAAACAATGATCCAACAACAATCAAGGAACCACTATCTAGTCCTGATGCTCCTTTTTGGAAGGAAGCAATAGATAGTGAAATAGACTCAATAACGCATAATAACACTCGGGGTGTTATCTGACCTACCAGAAAGCTGCAAACCACTAGGGTGTAAATGAGTTTTGAAAAAGAAACTCGGAGCTGATGGGTCTATTGACAAATACAAAGTCCGTCTCATAGTAAAAGACTAGAAACAAACTCGAAGGTACTGCGATGCCAATTGGATATCCGATGCAAAAGACTCACTGTCTACAAGTGGATATGTATTTAAAAATTGGAGGAGGAGTTGTCTCGTGGAAATCCACAAAACAGACGTGCATTGCACGGTCCACAATGGAATCGGAGTTCATCGCCTTGGACAAAGCTGGCGAAGAAGCCGAATGGTTGAAGAACTTCATGGAGGATATGCCATACTGGACTAAACCAGTACCTCCCGTAACGATTCACTGCGATAGCCAAGCTGCAATAGCAAGGGCTAAGAATGGAATTTACAACGGTAAATCCCGACATATCCAACGTAGACATAACACTGTAAGACATTTGATCACCAGTGGGGTTTTGACTATTGAATATGTAAAATCAATAGAAAACCTAGTGGATCCGCTAACCAAAAAGTTGCAGAGAGATCAAATGTACAAACTGCTAAAGGGAATAGGTTTGAAATCCACAAGATAGAGACAATTACAGTGGTAACCCAACCAAATCACTTGGAAATCCCAAACCTTGGTTCAATGGGAAAGCTAAACTATAAGAGTCCGGCACGAACACTCAATACAATTCCCTGAAAAGCAATGAGTTTTATAATGTGCAAAAGTGGTGAGGTTGAGTCAATGACTCTTAATGATCCTAAAGGTGTGAGTTAAATACCTTGATATAGGATTACCTATATAAGTGTGAAGTGTGGGCTGCTTCAAATTA